TGTGGGACGCGGCCTCAGCATGGCCGGAGAAGCGGTGCGTCGGTGCGCGCCCGGGATCCGAACCCCGGGCCGCCAGCAGTGGAGCGCGTGCACTTAACCGCTAAGCCATGGGGCCGGCCCCTCAACCCCAGTTTTTAACTTCATTCTCAAAACAGATTCTCTGGACTGATCCTGACCCCTTAAGATAATCCAGTTGAGGTACTGTTTGGTTAAAATTGGATTGACTACATCGAACCCATTCAAAATGATGAGTTGCCCTAGGTTACCCATTCACAGTAGTATCAGCCTCTTTTCTCTCTCTACTACCTCACACTAACCACAGCTGAGCTGGAAGGAACCTATGGAGTGACTAAGCAAAGGCAATTGAGGGTTTCTTATTAAGAGCTACCTTCTGGTGAGAAGGGAATCAGACCACAATTTCCAAAGTGTCTTAGGAAACTGTTGAGAAGTGTTCCTAATTATGCAAAGGGGAAAAAAAGAAGGGTTCCATGGTAAAGAAAAGTTTTAGACTACAAACAGGTCCATGACTGCCTAAGGAAAGTCTTTAGTATGCTGATGTGCATTTTCATGAGCACATGAACATGCAGTTATGTCTAATTCTTTAGAAAACCCTCTTGACTCCATACTCGCCCCCAACACCACCTACAGAAAAGCTTAAGCTATTCTTAAGATATTCTCCTGGCTCACTCCCACACTTCAGAGGTCCCTGCCCACTGCATGTAAAATATTGTTTCCCCCAGCCCACCATAGTATAAGCACTGAGAGTTTTGTTCACTCATGCCTCCCCGGTGCCAAGAGCAACCAGTGCCTAGCAAGTTGTAGGTGTTCCAGTATTTAAATGAGTTTCTTTACAAGGAGCATAGCATATGCAGACTTGTTGCCCCCTCTCCCTGCAGACATCTTGTAGGATAAGTTCTGGAGAAAGGATGCTGGGCTGGACAGCCTGGAAAAAGTGCTGCTTTGGTGTGTGAGGCCCCAGCTCTGACCTGGCCTCCCCCATCCAGATCCTTTGCCCTGGCAGGCTAAGCTTTCACATGTTCTGGTCTAACAGAACATTAGATTTTGTGCTGGTTTTTTACAAGCTGGGCTTTGTAGCATGTGGTATTTTTTTTGAGAAGATGAATTTATAATTCAAAATTTTTAATTCCCACCATCTTACCACCATAGAGCCTTTTAGTGTTAAGAGCTTTTTTCCCAGTTAGTGCAGTCTTCATAATTTTTGAAAACCCTTAAGAGTCCATCCATGTATGCCATAGTTTATTAAATCAGTACCCTAATGGTGGGTGTTTGCTAATTCTTGATAATGCCGTGAGAATGGGTTTTGAACAGTCGAGTGGCAATCCTCTGCCATTGATTATATCATGTGTTCTCATCTATAAAATGAAAAAATGCCTACCTCAAAGATGGTGAGATAGTGTAGGTACAGTGCTTAACCCAGGGCTGCCTGGCACATGGAACTATTTCTTCTGTTGAATAGTTCCCTTAGGCTGAATTTCCAGGATCAGAGAGCAGGAGACTTGATCGCCGATAGTACTTGTAAGCATATACCTTTTCCCAAAGGGTGGCCTGGCAAGTGTACAAATCCTGAAGACTAGGTATTGCTTCCATTTTTATGGTGACAGTAGGTTTACTGACTTCCTGTAAAGACTGCTTTTGAGATGGTTGCCTATCTCACAGTGATCCTGATATAGCCTGCCACACTTGGCCATAGCAGCATCAAACTCACCCAAGGATCTGCAACAGAGGCATAGTAGTCTTGGAGCTTTGTCACACTAATGGTGTTGCTTTCAAGAGAAGAAAGGACCAAACACCTGCTGGGTCCCCTGTGGCTGCCATGGCTCCTGTCCTTTCAGACTTTCCCCGATAACATAAGATATTCCTGAACGCTTCTAATCACTGCCCCTTGATTTAAGCTTGGTTTTGAAGCCACTGGAGGACCAGCTGTTCTAAGGGATAAGTATTAATGGATATTCTTATTAAACACCACCATTTTAATGGGCATCTTTTACAATTATATTCATCAGCTACAAATTTTCATGAGCTTTTCTTTATTTTTTTTTGATGAGGAAGCTTGGCCCTAAGCTAACATCTGTTGCCAATCTTCCTCTTTTTGCTTGAGGAGGGTTGTCGCTGAGCAACCATCTGTGCCAGTCTCCCTCTATTTTGCATATGGGACACCGCCACACCATGGCTTGATGAGTGGTGTGTAGGTCCACACCTGGGATCCAAACCTGCGAACCCCAGGCCGCTGAAGCACAGTGCACACTTAACCACTACACCACTAGGCCGGCCCCTCATGAGCTTTTAAATGAGCCAGAAACTGAATCAAAGCCAAAATATTACATGGGAAGTTGGCCAAACCTAATCATATACTGGGCAACAGCTTCAGTATCATAACTATTTTGGCCTCTGAGAATTATGACTGCTTCATTTTCAGTCTCAGATATACCACCGCACTATGACAAATGCCTCTCATATGGCCCAGAATCTGGGCTATTCTTAAATAATCACATAAGTGGCTAGCACTACCAAAGTCTCTAGTTTGTACCAGGCCCTGTTCTATAGGTGCTTATATATACGTAATATATATAAAATATATATTATATATATGTAATGTATATTATATGCATATATATATATATACTGATTTAATCAGCACAGCAACCCATGAGGTAGGTGTATTATTATCCCCATTTTACAGATGAGGAAATGGAGACTCAGAGAAGATAGGCAATTCACCCAAGGAGTCACATAGCTGGTAAGTAGGGAGCCAGGATGCAGTCCCAGGCATTTGGGCTCCAGAGCCTGTGCTCTGCCTCTGCAATGCTGCCTCTCAGTGACAGTGTCATGTTCAAAAGTATTACCTGAATGCCTGCAGCAAAAGGCAGTCCCTGCCCTCCAGGCGCTTACTGTTTAGTGAAAATGACAAATGAGCAAACCAGTGTAACTATAATCTGGTAAAAGCTGTGTTGCAAATATACTCTGGTAAGAGCTATGACAGAAGTAGCACACAGAAGGGGCCAATGCCAACTCAGGCCAAGAACGTGTCTGAGAAGGTGACTTCTGAGCTGAGCTATAAAAGTAATGAAGGTTAGCCAGTGAGAAAAGACAAAGAGCATTCCAGGTCGAGGCAACAGCATGTGTAAAGGCACACAAGCCAGACAGTTCTTTCCACAATTAGTTCCATGTGGCTTGAGAATAAGGGGCAGATCCTAGAGGGCTTATATGCCATGCTAAGGGGTCTGGAATTTATCCACTAGGCAGTGAATAACTGATGGTGGTGAAGAGGAAAGACTGATGGGAAGTAAGTGGCAGGGAGACTAGTTAGGAAGTTATTGCAAAAGTCCAAGAGATAAAAAGGGCCTAACTTAAAGCAGTGGGATTAGAAACAGGTTAGGGCCAAGACATACCATGGAAAAATGAACATGACTTGACAATTAGGGAGGCATGGAAGATGCTAACATGGGCGATGGCGGACAGTGGTGCCATTCCCCAAGATGGAGGATTCATGGAAGAAAACACTGGGGGCTGGACAGGGCAGGGCTCGACTGACATCCCCGTAGAGGTCCAAGTGCAGTTGTCAGAAAGCCACCTGTATACATCCCCTGCTGCTCCTGGGAAGGACTCAGTTCGAGGTGGAGACTGTGGAGGCATGAGTGTGGAGTCTGAAGTCAGGGGTTTGGACAGCCAGGAGGCTGTACAAAAAAATTAAAGAGGTTGCAGAGGTGGTGGCATAAGAGGAAGAATCAGCAAAGGAAACTGAGTGTGCAGAGGAGTAGGAGGAGAGACTGCTGTCACTAGAATCAGGAGAGGAATTTCAGAGAGTCACGACAGGGGCATATGGGGAGGGACTGCCTAGGTCTGCATCCTGCCTCCACTTCTTCCAAGTAACATGATCTTGGGCAAATTACTCAACCCAAAGTCTCGGTTTCCCAGATTGTAATATGAGATGAGTTATCTCCAACTCTGGGAGATCGTTGTGAGGGTTGAAGAAGATAATGCAATCTGTGTTAAAGAACTTAGGACAGCACCCAGGAAATACTAATGTATATACCTCTATATGTTACATCCCTCTTTCTATAGAGTCAAATGCTGCAAGGGTGGAGTATCCGTAATTAAGAACACAAAGGTAGATGCTGGACTGGGTTTTTTGCATTTGCTCCATAATTATTCAGTTAACCAAGCCACACATTCCTTTTTAAAACTCTTATGGGCAAAGATGAATGAGAGAATCTCTGGCCTCAGTCAGCTCCCTGTGTGGTCAGAGAGCTGGACAGTGGGGTGTGCAAGGGGTAGAGGAGATATTTACAGTAGGGTTTGAGGGATAAGAGGGGGCTTATTGTTAGAAGGGACTGGAGGGCCGGCCCCGTGGCTTAGCGGTTAAGCTCGCGTGCTCCACTGCTGGCAGCCGGGGTTTGGATCCCAGGCGTGCACTGACGCACCGCTTGTGTGGCCATGCTGAGGCCGCGTCCCACATACAGCAACTAGAAGGAGGTGCAGCTATGACATACAACTATCTACTGGGGCTTTGGGGGAAAAATAAATAAATAAAATTATAAAAAAAAAAAAAAAAGAAGGGACTGGAAGGTGAGGAGAAGATGTGGTCCAGGTCAGAAAGTGAGAATGGGTA